ACTGCATTTTCTGTTTGGGTGTATTTATTATTTGCTGCTATAAACTAATTAAATGGTGTCAGTTTTTCTTCTTACTCCTAACCTCATAACCTCTTAGCAACATTCATGTCATTAAACTATACTTTTTTAGAAAAAGGTGAAATTGATGTTAACATTTGGCAAAATTGCCTCCGGAACTCTCTTAAAAACTTTTGAAAGACAGTGTTCTTGATAAAGGGCTAGAAGCAAGGAATTTTCAGCTGAGAAAGCAGGGGGCAGGCGAATAGCACTTACTGAATGTGGGCTCCGGATGGGGTTGAGGTAGGTCTCATTTGGGGCGTCGCCCAGTTTGGAAAGTGCCGCGGCCAGTCCGCCGGCTTCCCCGGACCAGCCAGCCCGGAAGCGCTCCAGGTTGCACACGTGTGCCACGATGTGAATAGCTGCATAAAGCGAGACAGCTGACCTGAGCCTCTGGATTTCTTCCTCTGAGGTCTCTATGGTCAAGTTTCCCCGTCCTGGCTCTTAAAATCGCCAAGGAACAGTGATTGATTTATGCATCTCTCCCGGTGTCTTGAATGGAATGGATGGAATCCTTCTGAGGATATTGTATAATTTACTACATTCATACATTTAAATTCGATGAAGACAATGTAAAATCTAAACTCACCATGCTTTCATTATAAACATATGATTATTCTGGACGTGAACCAGGCATTGTAGTATTGCAACATAATTAGATATGATATATACTTTGTTTCCTGAGCCATTAGAAAACATCATTCTCCAATATTTCTGCACACCATATATAGCCATGTGTGTTAATACCAGGGAAGGCATCATCTTTGTTCTTTTTCAGACATGATATGTTCTATTTTTCCTTATACATTCTACTGTCTATGCATGTTTACCTTTACATGGACACACACATTGCCATGTGTTATTTCTAGTAGTTTGAAATATGACAAATATTTATGGAAGCGAATCTATATGCTTAAGAAGAAAACCCATTTTTCTAACTCTGGGAGTGGGTCCACCTTCTAGGTGAAGAGGACTTGTCCAAGACACAGTTCCATGTCACCCTCAGAATCTGTGCTGCTGCCATGACTTTGGGGAAGAGCAGCCCTAATCTCCAGACATGGGATGCTTTCCCTGCCCATGGGAGCCCTTGGGGGCCCAGTGTATCCCAACCATTGCGGTCAGGTACTAGTGTGAAACCAGCATGCATTGCCCAGAGGCTAGGTCACTTTCCAGCAGATAGTCCTTTTTTCTGTGCCCACCATGAAAGTAGCTTAGGCAGCTGCTACTTCCAAGCCTCCACAAGTTGTGTCCAAGTCTGGTGTGAAGAGTGAGGGGAAAAGGAACAGCAGAAATTTTTAACAGTATCGGTGTCATTCTGACCTCTGTGGTCCTTGTAGCACATTGACTCAGAAATCCACCTTCTAGAATGTTAGCCTCTTCTTTCTGGCACTTGAGTTCCTTCTATCAGCCATTCCCTTTGCTGTCTTGTAGAGTTACTCATGCTTTAAGACCCAAGACAAAAGTTGCTTTCTACCAAATACTCTTCTATTTTACAGGTATAAGTGACACAGTCATCCTAACATTTCCCAGGCACTAGTCTGTGTTTACTTACACCTGCGTTTCTCAGTGTACTTTGACTCCTCAAGAAAACTTGACACCTGGCATATTGCTTACACCAGTATGTACCTCAATGCTGAGTGAGAACAAGATTGCAGAAAGGGAGAAAGCTATGAAGCCCAACTGCAGATGCAATATTGTTGGAAGTGCTCTCTACAGATGTATTTTTTTCTTTTTTTGCACATTTTTCTAAGGTCTTTACATTAGAAGTCAAAACCAATAGGTTTTGATTGAGGCTCACCTGAGGAGGTAATGCTCTAGTATTTTAAGTCTACGATGTTGACAGTCTACTTACAGACTCATTGAAGGAAGCACCTAAGAGGTCGTCTTCTTCCTCGTTATGTTCATTTGTTCGCTCATGTGGCCACATCTCTGAAGGGGCGACCCTGTTCAATCTCAGCATCCACAGAGCTAGAAAAGCTTATCTACTTTCCCCATCACAATCCATTAAATGGGAATTATTTGCTGAATTGAATATAAACATTGTCCAGTATGTTCAGTATTCCCAGTTGCAGTTTTCTGATAACTATCTTAAAGTTTTGTTTTTATCTCTCTCTCTTTTTAAGGAAAGTTTATTACAAAAAAAGGAGAAAAGAAAGAGAGGTACCTGTATAGACACAGGTGGACAGTCTTGGGACCAGAGCTGCCTATTAAAGCTTTAAATTCACATAGTACTTGTCACAGCTAACAGATGCTGAATGGTTCCCATACCGCAAACATGGTTATAAATGCTTTATACCTGTGATCCCAATCCTTAGGTGTAAATTTTATTTCCATATTACAGATCAGTATTGAAAAGGTAAGGGACTTTCAGTTGGTAAGTGTCAAAGGTAGGACACAAACCCCTTTGTCTGACTCTAGGGACCTATCTTTTGACTTTAGTTATATTGCTTCTTTTCATCAATCACTAATGTTTGTCTACCTAGCTTTTCCCTGGAAACTCATTTCTCCCATGGGCTATGCTAAAGCGGTTGGAATGGTTCACTTGGTGTCTTTACTTCAGAGACAAATACCTCTTAAGACTATGACTCAGCAGAATCGTGTTGTTCTCTCACGGCAGATGGTACCAAGGTCCCTCGCACATTCTACCTTTTCACATTTACTCATCTGCTTCCAGCATTCTCAGATTCTCTTTCCACAGACCAAAGCACACCAGGCAGGGAGTGGAGCTGGTCCCACTTTACAGAAATAGACACTGAGCTTCAAAGCAAATGAAGCAATTTATTCTCCATCACATCATCCACGCGTGACAGGCAGAAAGGGAACACAGGATAAATCTGTTTCTTATATTCCATATTCTAGAACATTCTTCTCTGCTGTAATGAGTGGCTGATCACAATCTGTTTTCTACTAGACCGCTTCTCATATGTGAATTTGACATTGTTAAACTAAATTTAAATACATTTATTGAATGAGCAGATATTGAACTATTTATATGTTCTCAATGCCAGATGTCTCATAACAGAGCAGAAGAACTAATAACACAGCGGCAGCAGGAGAAAACCCAAGATCATTTTCAAGTAGTAGTTCCTGAGGGAAGATGTGGAAAGCTTTTTTTCTATTTTTTATTTGTACTTTGTAAATTTCACATGTTACATATTCCTCTGGTCAGCTGCATCCATTTTGTTTTCTTTTTCACAAGGTAGAAAGGTAAAAAGTGGGCTACCTTATTTATCTCAAGAAATCACAGAGAAAAAACTGTTCGTATTCATTTTGTTTGTCAGAATGTTTTAGTTCTTCTTATTTGAATTTATTATGCTCTTGACTTGGAACTAAAGTTACCTCAGTTACCAAATCTTGGTCCTTTTAGATAACCAAGGGAGATCTAGATTTTGTTACTGTTTAGATACTATATTTTCTATCCTCTCCTTCAGACACTAGTTTTTTTTTTTTTTAAAGATTTATTTATTTGTGCATGCAGAACTGGGGTACAGGCCAGAGACTCAGGGGTGGTGAGAGCTTCACCAGAGACAGAGCGGGAAGCAGAACAGGCAGATCTACGAAGTACATTGCTGAGAGGAGCAGCCGGTGGGTCAGGAGAGGTCTGCCGCGCCATGTGGTCACCTCCGGGGCAGGCAGGAATCGAACTCATGTGGAAGTGACTTAAGCTCCCTGTGCTGTGCTTTAACCCGCTGCGCCATCAGGGAGGGCCCACACACTAGTTATTTTAATCCGAGTAGCCACTTTTTATGACTGCTTCAGGGCCGTATTAAACAGTGATGCTTTCTCACTTTCTCTCTTAGTTACTAGGATCATATCTCGTGATCAGATTTCATGTCAGCAGAAGGAACACTGGAGAGGCTACCTCTCTGTTACTGAATTTCTCTCAGCCCCATTTTCCCATTGGCAATATGGGTGGATTTGACTCAACTGTGTGACACCCAAGCTCCCTTCCAGCTGTCTGGCCCCCATGCTCAGCCTGGCTCTAACTAGAAACATGTAGCATCTAAATGGCATCTTGAGGACCGGTGTGAAAGTATTTCCAACACGAAACTCACATTTGAGCATGCTTTAAGAATCAGCACTGACTTAAGGGGACTTCTGGTACCTTGTGGAAAACCCAAGCCACCAACAAGCCTTCCAACCCGTCCACGGACCGGGATCTACCTGCTGCTTCTGTGCCTGTTCTGCTGAACCCTCAGTAGAGTCCAGGATCCCCTTTTCTAGAACTCGCCCAAACTTAGTGCCAGAGCAAAAGATGCTATGGTTGGATTTTCCGCAATTGCCCTTTCTCAACTAAGTTTGAAGAGAGTAGCCATCTTGGACATTTGACAAAGGTGCATTGAACTGGTCTATGAACTGCTGAGTTCAAACGAGGGGCTTTTCTTGAAGAGGAAACAACAACAACAAACTCCATAACGGCTACAATGAAGCCAGTTGCCCTGAGAGAGTCCCCTTCCCTTCTTTCTTTCCTCTTTCTGTCTTAGCAGATGAAAGGAAGCAGGGAGCATCTCCGGAGTGTGGTCAGCCCTTGCTATCTTTCAGCTGCCTGTCAGCAATGTCATTTTGAGTTAGTCAGCTGCTAATTAAGCATCCTGTTGAAACAGGAGCAAATATTAGCTACAACTAGAACTAGACCTGAACTTTCAGACTTGTGGTCCGGTTTCTGCGGGAATATACATGGCCAGGGCACGTGTGCACGCCCCCCCCCCCCATTTGTCAGTCACATTCAGTGTCAGGTAGGAGAGACGGGGGGACAGAGCCTCCTTGGAACTACCTGTGTCTCAAGTAGAACTGGATTAACAGTGACCCTTGAGGGATCATGTTCTAAAGAGTCTGGCCTTCGAGATCTCTCTGTGTCTCTCTCTCTCCCTCTCTCTCTCTCCCCCCCAGCCTCTATTTTTTCCCTCAGTGCCTTATTCTGAGCTTGCTCCTTTCAACCTTTCCCTGTGATGTTTAATGCACTGGTTTTAAGAACCCGTCAGGGGTGGCATGTGGGTAATTGTGTGCCTCTGGACCCCAGCAGATGCAGGGGGGACTTAGCTGGAGAGAGCTGTCGGAATCACTATGAAGAAAGCTCGGGATCAGTTGCAGGGGTCTTCAAGGTCTAGTGTGAACGAGAGTCCAGAAAGATCCACATTAATAAGAATGGAGAGACTTTGAAGCTATGATTTTTATACCAGTGTGGTTATAGGTCCCTGAAGATGATTTATGAGTGGTGGGGGAATGTTCCAATGGCTGTTATTGTGGGCAGGCAAGCAGGAAGGCAGGAAGCCAGCAGAAGAGTTCCTGTCACTGCATTTTCGGTGATGCCCTTGATTATAGATACCATTGTTTGCCTCTTCCCTCCTCCTCCCCAGCCTCCTTCCACCAGGCTCTAATTACAGCCTTTAATGATTCGACCAATTAAAGCCTGCGGTTCAACTTATAGGGGAACGGATGAGAAATTAGAGGCTGGCATGCACACTTCGATGTGGATGCACTTCTTCCAAGGTTACACACCTCTATTAAGCCAGTCGGCTATTTGAAAAGCAACATAATGGGCGATGCTAATAAAATCAGCATGGGGACATTTTCAGCTGCTCCCCAGTGACTATACCCGAAGGACAAAATGTGAAAAGCAAAGGTACATCCATGAAACCAGGGCTTAGCAATTTTTTTTTGAAAGCTGCAGTTGCCAGCCACATTTCTTAGTTAATGTGAAATGTAATAATTGCTTTGTCAGGGTTTGGGAGCGGGAGAGCGTTCTCCCCACCCTCCTGCCTTTGCCTGGAATGAGAACAACACATGCAGGCTGGTGGCTGGCGGCCATGCCGTGGGAGATGAGCATTTTGCGTTCAAAAGCAGCCTGGCCCTGGTGGGGGAGAGCCTGGGTAGATGGGAAGGAGGCTGGCAAAGCAGGGGGTTGCAGCATCATGGGACCAGAGAGAACGCTTGATTCCTGCCAGGGCCGTGCGAGGGGAGAGGAGGAAGGGCATCCTGCACTCCCTGGCTGCGCCACCGGAGTGGATTGCCTCGCATGACTGGCGTCATTCTGAATCTCTTCCCTGCATGCTCTCTGTCACCTGCTGCAGTCCCTGAACCACCCCTTCACTGCAGTGTCTCCTACCTTTCCCGGGATTTCCTTCATTTGCGGTTGCCTGCTGGTCAACTCCTTCTCCCCTTCAGGCTTAATCACCTATGTTAGGTGCCAGGCGCCAAAAGAGCTGCCCTGCAGCACGCACATCAGCCCTGAAGGCCATCAGAGTCAGAGCAATTTCACCGTGGTAGGAGGCTGGGTGAGGTGAGGTGGGACCTGGCAGCTCACGAGGAAGCTGACCAGGCAGTTTTCTGGATGTGGTGCATTCTTGCCCAGCGAAGGAGAGGGGGAACGTTGCAGGCAGTGGGGCAAGGGCGAAGGCACAGAGCATGCAGAGGCCGCCAGGGACAGCACCGCAGAGGAGAAAAGGCCACAGCGGGGCCAGAGGTGAGACTGGAGGGGTGGGTGGGGCTCCGTGCACAGAGCCCGCCCACACCAAACGTGGACTTGATCTGCTTTTGATCGCAGAAGGGAATGACTTTGCAGCCTGCCCATTTCTGAGGGGCTCACCTCTGACAGCTAGTGTGCGTGTGTCATACCGCTAGGTACAGGGCACTCCTGTTCTCTTGAATCTGCTCAGCGGAGGGCATGGGGAGGAGCCAGCTGAGATCTCAGCCCCCGCAGCCGCAGGGGCTTGGGGGCTCCAGAACCTGGCCATCTGATCTAGTCAGCTGCTGCCCCTACCACATTCTACTCGGTCGCTCACGGGCCTGAGCACACTCTGCAGAGGCCTTCAGCTCCTGTCAGGCTGTACCCTGGAGGCCTTCACCCGCATTGTGGATGTCCTTAGCTATTGCTACGTGAACACAAAAAGAAATCCACACACCCCAAGGTTAAAGGGGACAGCTGTTTGTCCTTCCTTCTCTGACGTGCTCTGGTTCTGTTTTCCTTTCTTGCTGCTGCTGTTCTTTCTCTCCATGGTTCGCTGGTAACTTTCCTCTAGCGTCCACCTACACGAACGCTTTTGCACAGTGAAAATATTCTCCCTGCACGGTTATGTGCTTTGTCTCCTCTCTTAGTGAAGGAACCAAGGCTCTTAAGGAAGGCTAGAGAGGTCCTGGATTCCTTCTCTGAAGAGTTTTCCAAAAAGCTGGCTGTGCGCCACTAGGGTGCCACCCAACACGGGGATCTCTATGCTCCCAGAGACCCTTGTTCTCATTTGAGACAAGGTTCAGGGTCTGGAAAAGGCTTCCACTTCTGAGCGGCAATTGCCTTCCCTGGGCTTTCATGCCTTCACTCATTCATCAAAAGTTATTGGCACCGAGGTATACTCGGTGCTGCTCAAGGCCGTGGAAGACAGAGATGAATTACCTTTGTCTTCTCCTCCCCACCCCTTACCTGGGTTTCTCTAGGACTTGATGTCTTTTTACCCTTATTTCCTAGCAGACTGCAAGGACCTTTTACAAACATCTTCCAGGTTGGTTTATTCTGGCATTGAAGACAACCGAGGAGGAAGTCTCGCCACACGTATCCGCACACCCAAAGTTGTGTTAATTGGCACTTGGGCACCGTCTGTCATGTCTTGTTGCTTAATTAAATCCACATTTGTTTTGAGTGTTCCTTTCACTCTGCTATTTTTTATGCATGAGAGGATAAAAACAAATGAGGAAAACATTTTATAGTTAAATTAGCTTGAGGGAAATAGGCCTGAATTATAACTCTTTATTGTTCAGGTAGCTTTGTACTCCAATGTGTTTGCTGTCCAGTGTGCATTGTCTGTTGGTTGCTGACCTTGTCTGTTTACCAGGGTTTACCCTTGGCCTTGGATGAGTCTTTTTAGTACCGTCCTTTAGAATTTTCTTGTTTTCTATTTCAAGAAAGGACAATAACACTTTATATACCTTTGAAATCTCACATCTTTTCAAGATCCTTTTATGCCCACAGCTCAATGCTGTTCAGGGTCTGGCTCAAAGATAGCACTTTTCTTTCTCCTTTTTCTGCCCATGCTGCTATCCAGTGGTCATTTTCCTATGACTTGAATGAGATGAGACTCCACCAAATTTAGTTCCCATGTGAATGACATGAATAACGCTGTTCCTTTTCAAGTAGACATTTGTCATTGTATTATCAACAAGCTTAACTACTGACAAATGAAAATGAAATTTCACAATGACTTCTTGAGAAATTGAGGGTTTGGTCACTATGAGGCTAAATTAGACATCTTAAAATTCATTTTTATAGGCCTTATGTGGTCTCATGAAGGATAACCATTTTCCAAAGGTGAGCAGGGATGTAGGGTGGATGAAAAAAACTCAAGTTAAACATGATAAAACCAGTCAGGTAGTTGATTAAAAAACACTCACCTGTATTGATGGCTATCCCATAGGCAACAAGTTTGTGGAATTTGAGGGTTTTGTCTAATTGTCTCCTCCAGGAGCCTCTGCAACACTAGAGAAACAAAAAAGAAGTGATTGAGGGGAGATTCATAGCGCTGACATTGTCGTGAGAATTCAGGGAGACCCAGGTTCTGCCTCTGCGTGACTGTCAGGAGGCAGACGAATGTGACACAAAATATCATAGGCCACTAGTTTGCTGAACAGTCAAACCAGTGGTTACCAGTGGCTGAATTAGCAGGCCCTGGGTGTAAGTCAAACCTAAAGAATAAACCTGTGCTAATAACTAGGCAGGATCTAGAAATTATTCCTTACTGCACAAAGAAGGTATTATCTTCATCTATACCTACATATTCATATAATTATGATCACATATCATGGTATCTTTTCTTATAAGAATTATAGAATTGTTGAGCTTCTTAAAAGAATTAAATATTTGGGGCCCTCCCTGGTGGCACAGTGGGTTAAAGCACAGCACTGGGAAGCTAAAGCCACTTCCGCATGAGTTCGAATCCTGCCTACCCCGGAGGAGATCCACATGGTGAGGCAGACCTCTCCTGACCCGCCTGCTACTCCCCTCAGCAGTGTACTTTGTCGCTCTGCCTTTTCTGCTACCCTCTCTGTCTCTGGTGTATCCTCTCACCCTCCACATCTCTGGCCTGTACCCCAGTTCCATATGAATAAATAAATGAATCTTAAAAAAAAAGAATTAAATATTTGTATAAACTTACTGAGTGTCTTGTAAGAGTTGTTTCTTATAAGAGTTTGGTGAATTACTCTATTCAGCAAGAAAGAACTAAACGCCACCAGAGTGGAGTCAATATACTGGATCCAACTATGTCCTGGAGGGACTAACACCTACAATAAAATCTGTGTATGGAGACTGCCTTTTGGGGCGGAGAACTAGGGAGATGCTTCTTAATTGGCTTTTGGCTTAGCTGCTTGTCTTCTTTCAGTCAGAAGCATTGATAGATCAAACTGTTCTATATTATCTTCATGAGTCAGGTCAATTATTTTAGTCCTACTTTTCAGATGGAACAAATGTACCAGGAAAAGGTTGAGCAATGAGTCCAAGGTCATGTAGAGAGTCAATAGCAAAATGAAACATCAGATCAGAGGCACTGATTCCTAACTTTTGTCTCATCCATTGTGTTCTCACCAAGAAACAAACACCATTTGAACAGAAATATTGGAAATTACAGGGAGAGGATATCTCTGTTTTAATGACACTTGTATGAATAGATCGTATTTGAAATGATGCACTACTTACGATGCTTGTCCCTCTAATGAATGAAACAAGGTTCCTGCAGACTGGGAGAAGGATCAGCATGCAGTTGAAGTTCAGGCACACGGCAGATGCTCGAGCCCAAGCCAGCGTGGACTGTCCATAAAAAACGCAAGAAGAAGATACAATGACTAGGAGCGTGGAGAAAGGAGAAGGCATCTTTGCTTTTTGAAATGATAATGAATGCATAGTTGCCAACTCAACTTACACCCAGAAGAACTCGTGTGTAAAGGAATGACTCTTCCTCTTCATACCAATAGAATGTGTCAATAAACAGATACAGATTCACTCCCAGCCATGAGAGCTAGAGCAGAATGAAAAGACAAACAATCAATACTGTCTTCCACCTTTCCCTCTATTCAAAATCACTTGGGGTTCTTCTTTTAAAGTGAAATGAAGGGCTTCCTATTAATCAGAATTGCTCCATATGGTTATTTCTCAGAGACTGATTTTTAGCATTGATGAAAATGGTAAAAAATGATTAACTTTAAAAAGATCTTAGACACATATGGGCACACTTTAAGGAATTTAATAAAAAGTTCAAAACCTTCCTCATCAACATTGCTATAGTGTTTTAAATCAATGATGTCAAGAAGGAGGAAATCTTTCAAAAACAACCCAGAAAGTACACTAGAAAAAATTTCAATTTCATAGTCTAATTCAAAGACTTCATTTGATTTGGAGAAACAGTCATACATTATGCAAAAACAAACTACTTGACTTTAAAAATAATTAAAAATGAACTCAATCGGAAAACAGCTTTACATGATTCTATAAGGTACATTAAATACAGCTCCTGAATGTTTTCTAACAAGTTTTAGTCTTTTAGCCAGAGTCATGCTTTCAGCTCTTAGCATTCCCAGACAAGTTAGCCTAAAAATCAAAGACTATTCAATGTATATGTATTGAAAGTTGAAGAACAAAGGAGACACTTACTGCTAAGATGATGGAGGGGCTCTCATTCAAAATCCAGCACCTCATCCTCATCATGACAGCTCTGCACTCCTGCAAAACTGTGCCTGGATACTCTATCTGGAGTCAGGGTTTCCCTGCTGAATTATTCTGCCTTTCTGTCTTCGGAAGCACCTACTGGGAGCAGCTCTCGAGGAATTTCTAATTAAGGACTTCTTGCCAACGGCACTGAGCTGACATGCCTCATGACCTGGTGAATACAAGGCAAGTCTCTGTCTATGATTCCTTTCTTCAAAGATTTCACAAGAAAAGAAAACTCATTTTATTAAATTATCCTCATGTACTTTATACTCCATTCATTTTCTACATGATTGCAGTCAAGATGATAATAAGTCTTCATGTAAATTTGAGAAATTAGCTAACTGCTGAAGGTTGAATACAGCGAAAACATCCCACTTGAGTTTTCTCTACTTTATTTGCTCTTTGTTTACCTCCTCCCCTCTTCTTGCCAAAGAGCTTTTTTTCTAGAAAATATACTGTGCTGGATAAATAACAGATTAAATAATCTCTTGGAAGTTGAAGATAAAATAAAAATACTTTT